TAGAAGGTTGTAATTATCAGCCATATATGCCTGATTCTCTATTAGAAGGCGAACACAATTTAACAATACAGCAGGCCAACCGGAGCCGCTGTGTAACAATATGCCGCTGGGTAGTTGAGGCAGTAAATGGACATTTTAAGAGCCTTTAATCTCTTGAGGCAAGACTATTTTCACAAACCAATGCCAAATATGATGCAGAACTTTAAGATAACGGCCAGTTTACTTAACCGATTTGGTGTTCGCCTTCATGATAGAGATGATTCTAATGAAATAGTCGCAATAGTTAGAGAGAATTAATTTTGAAAATTAGCCCTACTGATCGAGGAACTAAATATGAATAGAAGGTCAACTGTTTTTGAAAGTATAACAGCTGACCGCGATAATTATTTATGTTTCCTAGATTAAGTTATAGTGAATTAATACTATTTACTCTAGGCACTTACCAGATAAGGTAAGGCAGATCATATTACGGGGAACATATTCGATTTCATGGATCATATAGAATAGAAATATGTAGGGATACACAGATTTTTCTCAGTATAGTCTCAGAGGAAGTAGTGATAGAACATTAATAAGAGGAAAAATTAAGTTCAGGCATATTTAGCGAATTAATTATTATTTAACACTGAAATAAAAAACACAAAGATGGTGTATTTCGTAATATTGTCGTAAAGTGTTGATTCAAGAACAGTGTTGAACCATTTAGGATGCAGATCATTTCAAAGTAGGAGTGAACTACAACAGGTACGACGAACTGATGATGAGGATAGTCATCCTTCTATATCTGTGGGCAATGGTTCAAATATTACAGTTTTATTGCAGGATTGTTTATTAAGTAGTTCTGGTAGGAGAGTAGGGAGGGGAGAAGTCCCCCTTCCGTCCCCTTCCGTCTAGGTAACGACATTTTCGTTGCAGATGGAATGACAATAGTGTCCTAGCCACGAATTTCAAAAATTTTGAAATGGCAAGAGCAACTCGGTGGTCCAACGTAATAAAGGCGAAATTTTTAGTGCCTCAGCCAACACTTATATCGAATTATAATAAAAATATGGGTGGCGTTGACAAATGTGAGCAGGCTGTAGCTAATTTGCGAACGCGAATGCGTATAAAAAATGGTGGTGGTCAATATTTTAGCTAGAAAAAACTGGCTTACAACAGTCACTCAATCATTGTTTTGCATTTAGGCGGTTCCTAGAAACAAGTTTACTGCGTAAACACGGGACACAGTCACATCAAGGACGTAAACCAGTGAAACCATTGTTCTCAATGTGGTATAATAGCAGAGATTACTGTCTTGTCGCCATAAGTACCGACCGCCGCTGTGCTAACCAGTATGAATCAAGAAGCAAATTTCAATGTTCGAAGTAGTAATGTAGGTCTTAAACCACTAAGTCTTAAGTCCCACGTGGAATACCATGTCACTACAACACAAAATCATTTGTTTACTTTTGAATACACTTTTTTCTCCATTTTCTTAGTTTTATTTTGTTTTATAATTTAATCCCCTGCAGTATGAATAAATATCCGCTATACATAGCGTCCGATTTATCGGACGGGCTATAATATTTAAGCCGTCGGAAAATTTAATTGTTTTTTGTCTTTAACCCTTAAAGCTCATCCTAAATCATAATAAGTTCCAATAAACATGATAAAAAATCCATAATATAACTTTATGCACTAATGGGTTAACAATCAGCGTTACAAGTTCAAATTCAGGTCAAATGACCTGTCAATATACGATATATTTTTTTATACATTTTTGTACCTCCTGACTTTAAGTGAATTGCTATTGTAAAACAATAGCAAAAAACAAATGTATTTATATTGTAAAATGTTCATACAAATATGAATAAAAATAGCATTCTCATACAACAACGGCTAGGTTCATTTGACCTATTCAAATGATGAATTGTTTTTCTGAGAAGGTTAATTATATTTACTACGATCTTATTTTCTGAAATCTAGAAGATGGCCAGTACAAGTATTTTATATTTCAGATTTATCTGCAGTAAATGCCTTGGTGTTGTACTAAAAAATTAACAACAAAAATATTATTATACTGCAATTGGTCAAACTGAGTAGTAATATTGTCGTAAAGTAAAAAATAAAATAAAATAATAATAAAATAATTTATTTTTCTTCACAAAACTTAAATTAATGACACAGTTGACTGGGATCTCCATTTAAGCAAGTAATGCCTGTGTTTGGAAATCCCGCTCTTCCTTATCTAAACAAACATTTTTTAATTTAAAAACCAAAAATGACAAAAACAAATTACTCTATTTAACAACCAAAATTTACAAAAATTACAAGTGTGTATGCGTGCGTGCGGGCGCGCGCGCGTGCATGTGTGTGTGTGTGTGTGTGTATGTAGAAATATTTTGTTATATTATATTGCACATAGAAGTGAATTATGAAATGCGGTACAGCAGAAATTCTTTTTTCTTCATAAGTTTTCGACTGCACCCACTTTATTATCAGGTTTTTACACTCCCTGTACGTTTTGTAGAACAAAAAAATAAAATAAAGGAATGCAGAACATGAGCTAAATTGCCTACCAGCAAAAACTGTTTTGGTACCAGAAGGCTTAACCACAACATCTTTTCACCGCTATTTCAAGATGCATGGGTCAAAGGCAGGGATTTGTGTGCTTTGAAGATTATCATATTAACATATAATTGTCTAACTGAGAGTAGACCACTTATTCTATACAGTTGTTCAGTGGAAAAACGTCTTTTTTTTAAAATACATGACTTTAATAAGGGTTCGTTAGGCTCTTTCCAAGTTAAGAAATTTGGTCTTTGCAGCTCCACCCCACACCGAAATGCAATATGTTATGACGGATTGTGCAAGGGACGTGTATATTTGGTTAAGAAGATATCTGGGAGAGTCCGACTGCTTAGTACTATCAGGTATTACGTGTCTTAGAGTTTTGAAAATCCAAATCAATTTTCGGGTCCAATTAATGACATGTTCAAGGTGATTTTCGGGTCCTATTAATGACATGTTCAAGGTGTGGGTACCACGACAGGCTCTGATCTATAACGACGCCCAGATATTTAGTGTGAGAGACTTTTTCAATTGATGGGCAGTCACAACCTTTGTTTTTAGCATCCTCAAAACACATATGAATTTTAAGGCAAAAGTCATTCTGTGGCTGGAAGTTGTTGGTAATGTTAAAGCAAATAAAATTTGTCTTAGCTGTATTCAAAGTGAGGAGATTTTGTTGCGAAATAGAGCGACTAAAGCTAGACCACTTTCAGCACTAGTCTTGACAGCCTCCCAAGATTCATCAGCAAAAACCACAGCAGTGTCATCGGCGTACGACAGGATTTTGGCATTTGGTATGGTCATACTGCACAGATCATTGACTTAAATTAGAAATAAGGTGGGCCCCAGTACGCTACCCTGTGGAACGCCATATGATGACACCACCGCTTCCCCACTAATAAACCCAGGAAGCTTTACCTTTTGTTTTCTCTCCGATAGGTAGCTTTCGAAAAGAGCAAGCGGAGTCCCTCTTATTCCAATTTATTCAAGCTTGTGCACAAGGGTAGGGACAGCCCCCCGAAAGGGTTCCCGCCTTGTCGTGGCGGGGGGCTTAGTAGCCGTGGCTTGGTCTCCCACGGTGAACAAAGAGGAACCCACGTGGCTGGCCCGAGGTGAAGGGCCGGCCTGAGGTGGCCACTCCGAGTGGGCTTGGGGAGCCCACTTTGGATGTGTGCTGGTGGACTGCAGCGAGTGGGGACTCGCGCACCCTCTACCGCTGCAGCCGAGGTGGAGTCGCGGAGGAAGAGGAGTGTTGGTATGGCGATGCGCCACTCGCCCTATCCTTCGCGACTCAAACGGGGCCGCACCGTTGATGCGGTGGTGGTGGGGCTGCGGAGGGAGAGGATTGTCGGTATTGCGAGGCGCCGCTCTCCCTACCCTCCGCAGCCGAATCTTGGTTGGCGGCGGAGCCATAGACCAGATCCGCCGCTGGGGTCGGGAAGATAGTACTTCTAAGTGCTCGTTTTTCCTGGCCCCATGGCCTTTGTGCATCGGACGCGGGAGCGTCGGTTGCACAGACGTAATTGGAGGCCGTAGAGGAAGGCGCGCCATGTGTTCTGGTGCGCCTTACCTGGGAAGGAGAATGGGGAGGGAATTTTCCTCTCCCGAGGAGGTGCTGCCATGGGGCGGCAGGCGCTAGTAGGGCCGCGGATGTGTGCGAAAGCGTAAAAAAACACCATGGGGTTTTAGTCGGTGCGAGTCCGACATAACCCGTCCTTGCCCCCGCGAGGCGGGTATGCGTAGGCATTTCCTCATGTAAAAAAAAAAAAAAAAAAAAAAAAAAAAAAGGGTAGGGACAGAGACGGTGTCGAATATTTTTTTCAGATCAAAGAAGACCGACAAACTTTTTACTGTGGTCGAGTTGTTCTGTTACAAATGTGCTTAATTCAAGAATTGCATATTCTGTCGATCTTCCTTGTCTGAAGCCAAATTGTGTGGGTGCTAATATATCAAATTTATTTAAGTATATGAGTATCCAATATTAAGTAACTTTTCCATAATTTTGGATATTGCTGGTAGAACGGAAATTGATCTGTAATTACTAATGTCATCTCTGTCTCCGCCCTTGTACACAGGTGTAATAATAAACTACTTTAATGGTGCTGGGAATATCCCTGTATCGAAACATAGATTATTTAAGTGGGAAATAATAGGAGCCAAGCCATTGACTGCCAATTTCATGAAGTCATTGGGGATATTGTCCCAGCTTGGAGCGCTGTTTGATTATATGAAATGATATTTATAACTTCTTCTATGTCTGTATGTAGTAAAACAAAGGAGTATAATGGCACAGGATTGTTTTCCATAGGCCTACTGGGTGTCACATTGACGTTCTGCATTTTATGGGCAAGTTGCATTCCTATATTTACGAAATAGCCATTTATGAAGTTTGCAGATTCAGTGGGCGATGATTCAGTGTTGATTCAAGAACTTTAAGGTGAGCTAAAACCATGGCGACTCCAACAAGCGTTGTTGAGACCACACTCGGTCTAACATCGGCCATGATTGATGAGACAGCTGATGCTTTGGGGATCGGTGAGAATCAGAAAGATGTGCAGGCCATGACCTTCACCCTGGAACAGTGGACTAACAACCAGAAGATCCGAGAAGCAGTGGCGTACATTCGGCTTGATGCCAAGAAGATCGTGGAGCAGTTCTTTAAGAAGGCTGAAGAAAACCCAATAGGTGCAGCTGACAAACCCATAACCATTAGGAATGTCTCTCTATATGAGAAGAACGCTGCAAACACAGACCTAATGCTCTTCCTGAACGTGTTCCTGGAGAGAGGGAACAATCTCCAAAAAGCCCTACTGCGATGTGATGACACCATCGCTCCTGTGCTCCGCAGGAAGGCTAATGCTTATGGAATTGTTTTGGAGAGAACTAAGACAAAACCATCCTGGGGACGAGACATCTTACGTTGGCTCGCCTCAATATGTGTAGCTGTGCAGTGCACAGGCATTTGCGCACTGCACAGCTACACATATTGAGGGACAACGTCAAGAGCAAGCTTATGTCAAAATTGTTCCCAGGACTGCCCGATCTGATGCTACACACAATCTTTCCAGCTTTGATTCCCGCTGATATAATCGATGTATCTGACGTTCTGAGGGACATAACAATCTTTATCAATGTTGAAATGTCCATGATGCTGGCGGACGCCAAAGGGAAGAGGAGAATGGCAGTTCAGTCCCTTGAGGATTTGTGTGAACAATCTCAAATGTATATGGATGCAGCAATGACTGGGAGCGTCTTATCACCTGCTGCTAGGACCCAAATATTTAAAGAAAACAATATTATGTCCATATTTTAATAGAAAATAATATGTCTGGCAGAGCTGCTATAGTCGAATATAGTTGTAATTGTTTGGTCGGTCGACGAACTATTGGTACTCGGTCACAGGCACGGTGTTGCCATACGTCATGTGGCAATCTACACGCAATATACTCCACCCCCTAGAAGTTTCAGCTTTCAGTCTTCTTATTGGGGATCCAGTAGAGGACACAGGTATTTAATGCAACGTTTGAGGACTCCAGTGGACATCAGAACGTCTGCCACACGGTGTATTTCGTCTGGTCTGGGGTAAAACTATATATGTTAACATAGTAGTTTTACCCCAACTGGAAGAAAAACTTAAGAACGGACAACAAACTAGAATATAAAAATCAAATTTAAAAACGGCTACCAAGAATTTTGGCTACAAAAATCAATCCCGCAGTTCAATGATTTTTGATAGCATTCCCATTGTCGTATTTGTGTGAACGTGGATTTAGCGTTGTGACAACGCTGTTTACTAAAAAAGAAATCGTTTGCATGTTATCGAACGCGTCGGCTTACGACTGTTTTTTTTTTTAAAGTAAAATCAGACCTGATATCCCAAACTTGATAAAATCATCAAATTCGTCCATCTCAATAAATTAGTATTAAAACTAAAATTGATTTCCTATCTATATTGTTTCTTTTAATTTGATTAAAATATATTCTTAATATTATAAAATTGTGTTTTAATTGTTCTCACTGGTAATAATGTCTAGCTTAGAATGTAAGTTTAAACACGAGAACCGACTTATATAGCACACCATAACTAAATTAATTAAAGTAACGAAATTGTGGTTTTTAAGTTTTAGGAGTATATAAAAAATTGAGAGCGCTGAAAAATAATTGATTTTCAAAAGGGGCGGTAAAAGAAATAAGTTTGATAATCTCTGGTATAGATGTACAAGGCGGGTATATTGAACAACATCTTCGTGGCCGTCAAGTAAACATAGTGATGAATTAGTGTTTGTACATAGTTACCCCAATCGATCGAAATAAAATTTTAAAAGTTGTGATAATCGACTACTAAAGTGTTAAAAGTTGAGTGATGTGAAGAGGTCACGACCTTAGTGCAGTTAGTGTAGGTACGAGGCGCACGCGCGAGTTAACGCTGAGCACCCTGTCAAATCTCATTCGTTTGCACATCATCAGCAATGCCAACTGGGTCAAGCGTGTGCAGTAAATACGCTTAGTAATAGGTTTTGTTGCATATATTTTAATTGTAAATAGGCAATTGTACTCAGTTAAGATCGAATATTGTAGTATTAAGCTTCTTACTGTAACTCTGTCTGAATAAATAAATTCTTTTTTTTATTGAAGTCTAGCTCGTTATCTTAACTGGTGCAGCCGGTAGAGTACACAACACGTAAGACCAAGTATTATACCGTAGCGAATAAAAGTTTTCGCAGAAAAATCGGTCGTACGTTTTAACGCTTTGTTCGGGTAAAAACGAACGAACAAATTTATTGAGGAGCGAACCAGCTTCGAGAACATAGTACCAATATTCCAGAAGAACCATGAGGAAAACTACAGCACTGGGAGTAGATCTTTTTCACCCATTTTTATTTTCGTACCCATCTTATTGCTATTCTGTGTGTTTATATTTTGGTTATTGTGGAATTAATTACGCATAATCTTTAGATAAATTCACACTTAGTTAATTATTTTTATTAGATTGAGTTACGAGTAGAGATAATTTGTACTATATTTTGTGACAAAAAGAAAGAAAACGGAAAAAACAGTGAAAGTTCCTATGAAAATGGTTAAAATTAACTAACTATAAAAAAATGTGAGTACATACTTCATTCATTCCGAGGAAACCAGTTACAAAACGAATATTTATTCCACGTAATTACAAGTAGATTATCCGGAGAAGCCGCGAAACTAGTTGGAGAACGGGATCACATTAATAATTGGGACGAATTAATAAAACATTACTGGGGCAACATTTTGGTGAAAATGACAATTTGTATAAATTGGATTTGACGGAAATTGAAAATTTTCAAATAATAGTTAGGTTAAAAGGCAAATGATAGAATCGAAAAGATAAAAATAAAATGTACGAAACTTTTAAATTTACCGCATATTCGTATACCTGAACCTAAAAATGTAGACAGATAAAATTAAGGTTAGAGAAAAAAGAGGAGGTAAGTCCCGGAAATTAAAGAAGGGGATTATATTTTTATGAAAACTACTAGGACAAGAAAAGCAAAGATAAGCCACTTTTTGAAAAAGCCAGTCATCGGGAAACCGGATCATAATATAATAAATGTTAAACTTAATAAGAGACAAACTAGAGTAGCTATAAAAAATATTAAACGTCCTCCACAGGCATTGGAAAAACTGTCCAACAAAACCTGAACACCAATCCGGGTATAGCTCCTCTGAAGGTTGGGACAGCAGTGATCAGGAATAACTCTTGGACCATTTTGAAAATTTAAAGTTCGTAGTAGAACAAATAGATTTTAATATTAAACAATATAATTCCGTACGTAAGGTTATTAGTAATAATAACAAATTTAGAGGTGAATTTAGGGGTAAATGAAACGAATAGAAACAGCCATAGATTTAACAAATAATAAAGTATATCAGATTTTACCTATATCTAAAATAAGTAAACGAGCCATAACTAGTCATTTAGGTTCCTTAGTTAAAGTTATTTCAGGTAATTTAGATGAAGAAGACGCTACGCACTTTACGCACAAATAAGTCAGGTGAATGTTAGAGAACATTTGGTCGAACACCGAGGCTCTTTGCTACAACAAGCATTTCACAAACTTGTTAGTGCGTCGGAAGACATAAATTCGAATGTCAATCGTTTACAAAATCAGGAAATATAGATTCTTTACTTCATAATGAAAGGTCTCTAAAAATATTGTTACAATATTAAATATTTTATATCAAATTTTGAACAATCTCCGAACTATTTTAGATGTAATACAAGAAATAGAAACAGCTATTGCTTTTAGTAAATTACATATTTACACCAATCAATCATAAATTCGACAGAGCTGTTGAATATGTTGTAAGATAAGCAAAAACGCAAATAAGGAAAATTGAATTAAGTTAGAAAGAAATATAGTAGTTAAACCTTTCGTCAATAGGAATAGTTCAGCTTTTGTATTAGATATTCCACTAATTGAACCACACATACTATAAAACAATACCAATTCCAATATTCAATTATAAACCCATCGTATCCTTTTCTATTGGTGAAAATATTGAAACACAGATCAGTGGTAGGTCCCTGTGAAGAAATCAAAGAAGAAAACTTCCTATGTGCAGAGGAAAGTCTCGCAGAGTATCCAGCCGAAATATGCATCGAGCAAATCATGCAGATGAATACTAACCACAGTAGCTGCCAGCAACACTATATACGATTGGAGAATTTGAAAACCCAGAGGATCTTTAAGAACTATTGGCTTCTGTATACCACTAAGGACTTGATAATAACTGAACACTGTCCCGAACATGTACAAAAAAACCAAGTGCAAGCTACATATATAATGATACCCAAACAAGAATGCAGAACACAGGTTGGAGACACATTCATAAACGCCCCGAGGTACTTTGCGAATATCAGACTTCAGCTTCCCACAGTCGATATGCCAACCGTACGAGAGGATGACATCAAGAAAGAAACAAAACAGTTGGATTTAAGAAACGTGCACTTAGTGATATAAAAGAACTAATAAATAGTCCTAAATTCAGTGATAACGAAATAGTTACAAAATTTTCAGTAACATATGAAATCAGTGTATGGACCATAAGCTTATATCTCATTGTAGTACTCTGCATGTATGTCAAATTTTAATTATGTAATAAAACTCGAACTATTCCGAAACTGCTTGAACCACCTTCGGATGATTTCTCTCTTGATGGGGGAGGAGTTAACGCTGAGCACCCCTGCCAAATCTCATTCGTTTGCACATCATTAGCAGCCCCAATTGGGTCAAGCGTCTGCAGTAAATAAGCTTAGTAATTAGTTTTGTTGCATATAATAATAATAATAATGCCCTCCAGACCGAATTTAGGCCACGGCGGCTTGCCTTAGCGGAGTCTAGCCATCGGCGCAGGACATGATTATAGTGCCCAAGTGTATGCGCAAGCACAGGTGCACTCTCTATTCCCTCACTCTCATAATCCGACGGGACGGTAAACCGACACGACCGGAGAGAGATCAGGCGCAGGACCAACAGCTTTGCGCGCCTTCCGAGGCACGGGGGTGAGACACCGCCAACTTCCTGACTCCGAACAACTACTGAGAATTTCTTGACGAAAAAACTCAATAATTGGATTTTTGGCCCGACCCGGGATTCGAACCCAGGACCTCATGATCAGCAGTCGTACTACTACAACCACTAGACCAACGAGGCAGTTGTTGCATATAATTTAAGTATAAATAATTGTATTTATTCTTATTTGTATAATTCTTACTGTAACTCTGTCTGAATAAATAAATTCTTCTTTTTTAGTCTGGCGATCTTAATTCGCGCTTCATGTCTTTGTTGCACGCAGCTGCCGGCCGCCGCTACTTGCTGTTTCGCTCTTGATAATTCCAGGCAGAAGTAATCAATCCACATAAAATTTTCAAACACTATTTAATTAAAATGTAGTTTATTTTCATATCGAGTTTTGTGAAGTAAAGTTGTTTCTATACGTTTGAATACTGATTCTGATAATGCACTTAACGGGAACCACAGGGTTAGAAAGACTAGAAAGACGGTTTTCTACTTACATTATTATTTATAGCTAATCTATTGAGTAGTTTTTTTTTTGTGTTGTTTTGTTTGTATTTCAGATTTATGATTTACCTGTATTATTATACAGTAAATAAACTCCAAATAAATTCTATTCAACATTAACTCCTTATTCGAGGGCATACACAAAGTGCGCCTGATAACGGCTTTTCTGTTACAGAGTAAGCTGTAAAACCGGCCAAAAAATCTGGCCCCATTTACGACTCAGTCCAGTATTGTCATGTGATAAGGTCGGCAAAAGACATGTAATCTTTTCTATTTAAGAGAAATGAATTTTACCGACTTTAATAATCTTGATAGTCTGACCTAAGATATTAGTTTGAATTTAACAAAAGCCAAAAAACAACTGAAGCAACTCAAAGCAACTGAAATAAGCACCAGCTTTCAAATAAAAAAAGAATCATCAAAATCGGTTCACGGAAAATTGTTCTGATGTAACACACATAATAAATTACAGTCGAATTGAGAACCTCTTTTTTTTGGAGTCTAGCAGAGACCTAATAATATTAACCCTAGAAGCCCAATCTACGTCTTTTTTACGTACATTCAAACGCATATTCGCTATCTCTTTTGCACGCTTTCTTAGATCGCCGTGACATTTCAAACCGACTGACCGACCGACGATCCGCCACGTGCTAATAAAACACGGCTGCGTCGCCTCGGTAAGTACTACTATTTCATATAATCGCAAAAGTTGCACGTCAAATTAACGTATAGTTTGGCTTTGCGTAACTCTGTTTGTGTTGTACGATTTTAATGTGAGTTGTTTTTACAGATTTTAACTTACTTTATTGTATTTTATTTCATTTCTGATACCAAACATTATTATTAGATGCAAAGACAAGATGGCGCATTTGGTCCACTTAAAGTTGAAGACATAGCATCTATTTTGGAAAATTATGATGATTTTTACCCCGACTCGGAAGAGGAGGATTGCGTGACTCAAGACGAAGTTAGAAGCGACGTTGAAGGCGAAATGGTGGACTACATTGAATCTACAATCCAGTCGGATATCATGGAAATTATTCAAAGCCCATCACAATAATCGACTAATCTCGAAGAAACGCAATCAACAATATGCAGAATCATTTCGTTACCACAACGTTCAATACACGAAAAGAACAACCATATTTGGAGCACTATAAAGGGCCGATCCAGCGGCAGAAATTCTTCTATCAATATAGCGTTCAAATAGCGGATCCAGTCAAATGTGTAGAAATATCGTTGATGCTTTGGTTTGTTTTCAACTTTTCATCAAAGACGAGATAATCGAAGAGATAGTAAGATGAACAAATGACAAAATGATAAGGAAACGTAAAAATTTGAAGGAAATCTCGGCAAGTTATAGAGAGGCGCAGGTTCGGCCGCACATGGAATAGTATTCCCATCTCTGGGCTGGGGCTCCACAGTGCGAGCTCTTTCCACTTGACCGCATCCAGAGCAGAGCGGCTCGCTCTAGATAGCTCGCTACCAAGCTAGTTCTAATTTTTAGGGTTCCATAGTCAACTAGCAACCCTTATAGTTTCGCCATGTCTGTCTGTCCGTCTGTCCGTCCTCGCTTAATCTCTGTGACCGTTCCACTAGAAAGCTGAAATTTGGTACCAATATGTGTATCAATCACGCCGACAAAGTGGTAAAATAAAAATTGGAAAAAAATGTTTTATTAGGGTATATGTAAAGTGGGAAGTGATTTTTTTTTTAATTTCAACCCTAACGTGTGATATATTGTTGGAAAGGTATTTAAAAATGAATAGGGGTTTACTAAAATCATTTTTGATAATGTCAATAGTTTGGGAAATAATCGCTCCAAAAGTAAAAAACAATGTGTCCCCCGCCCCTCTAACTTTTGAACCATAAGTTTAGAAAATATGAAAAAAATTAGAAAAGTAGAACTTTATAAGGACTTTCTAGGAAAATCATTTTGAACTTAGATGGATCATTTTGAACAGTTTTTGTACAAAAAAGACAAAAAATTGTACAAAATAATTTCTGGACTAAGTTTGTAGTATAATCGTACATGCAAGCATTTTTTTAACTTCGTTTACATATTTTATTATCCCGAACGTATCTTTTTTCAAACAAAAAAAGAATTATTAAAATCGGTTCTCGCAATCCAAAATTACCACCGAAAACTTCTGGCACGTCCATGTATTAATTAGTAACCCAATTCCCCGAGAGATGGCGCTGTAGGTACTTATTACATTGGGTCGGGTATTATCGAATTGTTCGGTTGGTCTCTCCTTGGCATCGCCTGCCGCGGAGCGTGCAATGTTGCACGCTCTACGTTCGCGCACGTACCCACTACCGGGAGCAGTTGCAGGAGCGCAGAGCGCCGCTGGAGCGCGAACATAATGGATACCCACCTTTAAACTCATAAGTGGGAACACTTATTGTGACGGACGGGAAACTACGGAACCCTACACTGAGCGTGGCCCGACACGCTCTTGGCCGGTTTTTTTGTGTTGTTAATTGTGTTACATACAAGATTGTAAACTATTTTTTTAAATGCCCCTAAGGTTTCCTGCTGGTTCTTCTCAGGACGGAGGTTTTCTATCCAAACCAGTGGTAAATTAAACAAAAGAGTGACTTTCAATGAGTATTATTTATAATCTATATGGAATAAAAATGATTCTGTTCCTGTTTATGTTTCACAGAAAAATTAGCAATGTATGTGTAGTCTTTAAATTGAAATATTTAAAAAAAATCGAAAATGTCGTAATGTTGCCCAATTTTTACTTATTTGTAGATATTATAGTCGTTTTGCTATTTCTTTATCAAGCAATCGGACTGAGTAGGTACCACTGTATCTATATATATAAAACAAAGACGGGTTTGTTACAACACTTATAACTCGAGATCGGCTGGATCAATTTTCATGGTTTTTGTTTAGTTGGATTTGTCTCCGCCCTGAATAGCAGAATACATTTTAAAAACAATGAAAACTTGAGGAATACATAATTATGAAAATGAATCATTTTCCATTTAATTATGTTCCTTTGTTTCGTACCTGTCAAACATTTGTTTTCCTCCTGTCATCCTGTCAAATACTGTGATTGACATTTATGCACGCGTTCAGAAATGTATTTTGTGTAAACTATTTAAAAAGGGTGAATAAACTTTTGTCTGTATTTTTTTAATCAATTAAAAAGGTTGAAAAGTGTATTAAGCAGATTTAAATAGAAGTTCCTCAAATATTTATGCCTGCGTTCAGAAATAATGACATATGGTTAACATTTACGCGTGCGTTCATAACTTTATTTTGCGTAAATTAAAGTTTCTAATTTCGAAAACAATTTCTAAGATTTATTCTTAAAGTTATCGAAAGCGTAAATGTCTTATGTTGTCTATGATTTTCTAAGATATATAATTACAAAGGTTAAAAAGTGCAGTATCCAAAGTAGTAGTCTATGATCTAAACTATTGTCAATCAATGTCTATGTCACGAAAGTTCAGCTACTGTTATATTTGTTTTTGTGTGGTTTTGTGCGAGTACATATTCAGTATTAGTAACAATGCCACGTCCTAGAAGATCTAATCTTTCCCAACGAAGCCGTACTGCAATTAGGCAACGGAACATCGCGAGTCAATTATCTGATGAAGAACGAGACATTGCACGAGAAGAGCGCCGCGTTAGTATGGAGCGAAGAAGGGCTTTAATTCGTGCCACTCAAACACAAGAGGAAAGAGAGGCAGCCCGTGAAACGGCTAGGTTAGAAACGAGAAATCGTCGAGCTTATCGTACAGATCAACAGAGGGATAATCTTCGACGTGCAAGAAGAAATGGTTCAAGCGTTGATTTGAATCGAGCAGCGTTTCTATATGATTGCACCATCGACTACAGCTTGCATCGTTTAGTTTGCGTTGGTCCAATGGACGTTGTTTGCCAGCATTGTGGCGCATTGAAGTTTGCTGGTGAAACGCCTGGTTTGTGCTGCGTTAGTGGTAAAGTGGTAAACCAATAATGGCAATTTGCCATTATTGGTTCCGCCACTAGAGCCCTTGTGTTCCTTGCTTAATGACGAAACTCCAGAATCACGACATTTTCTAGCGAACACTCAAAAATACAATGTCTGTTTTCAAATGACTTCATTTGGGGCGGAAATTATCGAAGAACACGGATATAATCCGACATTTAAGGTAATTGCTGGAATGTAGTTTGTTAGATTTCTATATTTGTCTCTAAAATAAAAATGGCATGTTATCATTTGAAAAAAAAAATAATTGTAAATCTAACTATGCCTTCGACTTTACAGATTCAAGGCCAGATTTACCATCGCATTGGATCATTGCAACCTCATGAAGATGCACAGCTTAAATTCTTGCAAATATACTTCATGGGCAGTATGGAAGGGATCAACACAGCTACAAAAAGAGCAATTTTCCAAGATCTGCAGTAACTGCTTCATGAACATCATGCATTGGTCAGGCTGTTCAAGACTGCGTTAGAGCGCATGCCAAATGATGATTATAAAGTTGTGATCAGAGCAGATAAACGACCAGCTGGAACACACGAACGCACATTTAATGCTCCAACAATTGATGAAGTGGCAATCCTGATTGTTGGTGAAAACTTAGAAACACGTGATATTGTACTTACACGACGCAATACTGGGCAACTACAAAAAATATATGAAACACACCGTTCATATGACGCATTACAATAACCCCCTGATGTTTTGGCAAGGAAACGATGGATATCACTTCAATATCAAAATGATTAATCTATTGAATGGTAAATGTCATAGTTTTCATTTTAACTTGATATACATTTTATTCTGTTTGCTTTTGGTAACCAAAAAAAGTTGTCACTCCTAATTTAGCAGAGAGTAGTTATAAGAGTCGTTAACACTATTAGGGGTTGTTGGTTTAGAAAATATTGAACAAAACTTAGTGATGACATTCTGTTTACCCCTTCAAGGAATACAGACATGCATTTTTCTTCTAAAGTACAAATTTTACTATATTTGTTTCAGGTGAGGAAACTACCAAGAAGGTTAGTTCGATGAATTATTACGCACATCGTTTGATGATTCGTGAAAATTCTGACAATTATTTGTTGCGATTTCGTCGACTGGTTCAACAATATTGCATTGACATGTACGTTAAAATCGAAACGGAGCGCCTGACTTTCATTCGGTTGAACCAAGCTAAATTACGTTCGGAAGAGTATATCCATTTACGCGATGCAATTAGCACAGAACAGAAAATGTTGGTCGATTGACTATTTTACCGGCTACAATACACAGGTAGCCTCACGCGTCATATGCATGAATATGCGCAATAGAACATTGCAATGACATATGTTCGTCATTACATTATATTACATAAACATATACATATCAGAATATTATCTTTATATTATATTACATAAACATATACATTTAAAATATCTTTAGTTCTTATTTTTTGCCATTAAATCTGAGGTCTGACAGCTGCTCGCTATGTTTTGAGATTAGTGGCTTTTCCCGACAGAATAACAGGCGCTGCGGCTCTTTGCATTGTAGCATAATGCTGAGTCGGGTCCTTTTCGTTGCTGCAATCCAACATAAATTTAAATACTTTTTATAAATACTTTTTACTATCAATTGTTTATTTTTTGTGTTGAGTTAATTGTTTGTTTTTTTTTTTTTTTTATGTGTTTGTATTACCGCGTAGCAACGAATAAAGTTGCATTTTCTTTCTTCTTTCTTTCTATTATGGTCGGCCAGATCTATTCATTACATTTACATGTAATCCGAAATGGATGGATATTATTCAACTGCTGCTTCCCGGACAAACATCAAGTGATCGGCCCGACATCACCGCACGTGTTTTCAAGCAAAAAATCCGGTCACTGATGAATTACATTGTTAAGCAACACGTCTTTGGGACTACTTGATGCTGGATGTATTCAATCGAATGGCAAAAACGATGCTTGCCGCATGCACATTCTAATTTGGTTAATCGAAAGAATTCGGCCAGATAAAATAGATGACATCATATGTGCGGAGATTCCTGATCCTGAAACCGATCCAGACCTACATGAAGTTGTAATCACGAATATGATTCATGGGTGGACCATTAACCGCCAATCACCGTGCATGGTCGAATGCAAGTGTTCCAAACGGTATCCCCGAAAATTGAGGTCAGAGACCATCACCGGCAACGATGGTTATCCACTGTATCGGCGTCGATCGCCAGATGATAATGGTAGAACTATCACAACTAAAGTGAAAGGAAACGATTTCGTGGTCGACAACAGTTGGATTGTTCCATATTCACCGCTTCTTTCCAAAACATTCAAGGCACATACCTGTAATATTGAGTATTGCAATTCGGTCAAGTCAATTAAATACATTTGCAAATATGTCACGAAAGGCAGCGACATGGCGGTTTTAGGTATCCAAGCATCCAATACCAACGATGAAATTACGTGCTATCAAATTGGTAGATATGTGAACAGCAATGAAGCAATTTGGCGTATATTCTCATTCCCTATCCACGAACGTCATCCCACTGTTGTGCATTTGGGGGTGTATCTAGAGAACGGTCAGAGACTATATTTCACAGCGTCGAATGCTGTTCAACGTGCCGAAAGACCTCCAGCGACAACATTGACCAGTTTCTTTGCGATTTGTCAAAGCGATCCGTTCGCACGAACGTTGCTTTACTCGGAGATGCCACGTTATTACACTTGGAACGCTACATCGAAGAAATTTCAACGTCGGAAGCAAGGCGATGCAGTTCCTGGCAATCTAGATATGCATTCTACTGATGCTCTTGGTCGTATTTACACAGTTCATCCGAAGAATGATGAATGTTTCTATTTGCGGTTGTTGCTGGTACATGTTCGAGGGCCAACATCCTTTGAATCACTACGAACTGTTAATGGTATAATGTGCCCCACATTTCGTGCAGCATGTCAAGAGCTCAATTTGCTTGAAAACGATACTCATTGGGACACGACAATCGCTGAAGCAATTATTTCTGCATCTCCAAGTCAGATACGCACATTATTTGCTATCATCATTTCGACATGCTTCCCATCGAACCCACGAGACCTGTGGAACAAATACAAAGATAACATGTCAGAATTGAGAATGAAAGACATTTTACATCGAATTCGTGTCAGCACAAGAAATCCCAATCTTGAGGCGAATGAGGAGATGCATAACCAGGCTTTGCTCTTGATCGAAGATATGTGTTACCTCATTTGCGGCAGTTTGTTAGTCAGGCTAGGAATGCCAGCGCCAGATCGCGGAATGAATGACACATTTAACACTTTAACAGCCGTACACGTACTGAGTACGGGCAGTGTCGATCAACTCGGGACGCCGATCACGTACTCCGTACGGGTTTGACTTTCCTATCGTCTGTTTAAAAATTACGTTCCCGGTGCGTGATTGGCGTATAACCCCGGTGTAGAATGACTCTTTAGCTACACCCACATGTATGTATCACCGACGGGAGGTGCGGGGTGGAGGCAGGACAAGCAATCTTTCAGCGCGCGTCGCCAGTGCTCCCACGCCACCAACGTGAGAGCACGTCCTTGCATTTTGGCGCGAAATGGCTTCCGCTCGACGTAGTTGGCGTCTCGATTCTAAAGAAATTTTTGATGTTTTGGTAAATGATGTTGACTCAGACATTGAGGAAGACCCGGAAATTCAAATTGAAGGTAAATTATTGTATTTTATTATTGTATTTTTATTCGAATATACCTTTTTTGCGAAGTCTAGATTTTTATTGGTGTTTTCTCTCTCCAGAGGTAATTCAAGACTTACATGAGGTGGTTTCGGTCCAAGATCATGAAAATGATGATGCTGACATGTCAGAGAACGTATCTGAACCAGAACAGGGTCGAAGTCGAGGTCGCTCGAGACCTACACTTCGAGGCAGAACGAGATCGCGCGGCGGACGCGTTCGGTCAGGGGCGCGCTCGACTACCCGCTGCAGCAGCGGCAGACATGCATCAACTTCTATCAGGGAAATGGATGAAGCTAATGGATGGTCATACGAAGCAGTGCAGCAGCCGCCGGAAAATCCAGTATTTCAAGAAATATCTCGCGTATTAGCCCCGATTGATGAAAATTCGTCACTGTTCGATTGTTTCTCAATTTTTTTTCCTGATTCTTTTTGGAAATTGCTCAAGACTGAAACAAATCGTTATGCAGCTCAAATGAAGGCTAAACAAACGCGACAAGGTATCCTGAAACCTGGCACTATGCTTTATCAATGGAAACCAGTCACGAAACAGGAACTGAAAACATTTTTTTCCGTAGTGATTCATATGACACTCGTTCAAAAAAGAAAGTTTTGATTCTTACTGGTCAACTCGTGAAATAATAGAAACTTCATTCGCCAGAAAGCACATGAATAGGAACCGATTCAGAGCTATTTACAGCTGTCTTCATTTGAACGACAACTCAAATTATAAACCACGTAATGATCCAGAATACGATGCTTTTTTCAAACTCAGACCGTATTTCGATGAACTGTGTTTTTTGTGTGAGAACAGTTTTTATCCCAATGAAAACTTGACGATTGATGAGGGCACTTGTGGATTTAGGGGTCGAGTGCACTTTAAAGTTTACAATAAAGATAAGCCCAATAAATACGGTATGAAAGTCTACATGCTATGTGACGCGGAAACGGGCTACATACTACGCATGGTTCCCTATGTTGGCGACTCAAAATCTGTCGAGACTATTATCGCTGAATTGAGTGAACCATATTTTGGTAAATGGCACACCATTTATATGGATCGTTTTTTTACGAGTCCGACAATTGCGGACTTGCTTTGGCTGAAAGAAACTCGCACTGTAGGCACAGTGATGGCGAATCGTCGTGGTCTGCCACAGGTTTGGCGACAACAACCGTTGGAAAAAGCTGAAATGGCTTTTTGTCACCGCGGCAATCTAACTGCCTGTAAATGGAAAGATAAGCGTGATGTACTTATGCTCACGACGAAACACGGAGCTAGCTG